TATATGTTATAAGCATTCATGTTTCAATCTTCACTCTATCAAATTATGCGAGGAAACATTCCAAGTGTGCAAAAATGAACGAGGAACAATGATAGATAACTATTCTTAATACCTATTGATGACAACTCCGAAAATATATGGAAACATTCGAGAACCTTGCAAATATTTCAATGCAAGCAAAATATACGCGCTTCGAAATAAATGAGTGTGCCCTTAATCTCTGAATTCATTGGTAATATTATCTTTTCTAGTAATCTTTGATTGTGCTGCTCAATTGTGTATTCTAATAGATTCCAACAAAAACGTAACTGAGCAGATGCAAAGGCACTGTTTAACCATCAGCGAATGCTTCCTGATTCGAGTCACATTAGTGCGGATTGTGAAAAGTTTTCCCTCAACGACGATGTCTATTCAGCACAGCCCTCCCACACCACATCCATGTACTACACCATGTCATTTCCACCATTGTTCCAGACGTTTTTGTACCTCTCTTTTCATGAGACAACGCCTCTGATCTCGCTTTTATTAACAATAAAATACCACACATATTATAAAATAATATGTCAACGTGAATGCAATTACATGCAATGAACAATAAGTCACGCATTAAATTGTCATGCAATATAATCTAATCATAGGACAAATGACCACAAAAAACAATTCATCAATATCTCATCTAACACAAAACGTCAAGCGAACTTCGGTGAATAAAAACATACTGCAGATTCAACTTCAAAATCAAAAACATTTTGCTTATTGTCAGAGGAAGAAATGCTAGGGATTTTCCACATTTAAAATTGAAATATCCTCACAAATCGAACTCTCTCAATAATCAAAACGCACTTCACTACAATTAACTCGAATGATTAGTAACCTAGCAAAACGAGTGTTACAGCAACAGACACAATCAGTCGTCAATGAGCAGAGAATCAATCACATCAGATAAACGTTCATCAAAAAGCCAATGAAAGGTCTCTATAAAATGCTTAATAATTCGGTTCTGTTCATCGCAATCTTTGTATCGTGTCTTCATTTTACAATCGTGCGGTGGAGCCAACTCACTGCCAGCGGAACCATCCACCAATTCACTTTTCGATAGACCAGAACATACTTCCTTCTTTGCGCACTCCACCTGAACTAGTTCACTTCAAATACTATATAAATCATTCTGCTTGACATTTTCAAACTTAGGCACAATCCATTCGCGTTATTATAACTGTGCCTAAAATATGAATAGTGGGGTCGGTGTGGAAGGAACACAAATTTCATTAATTATCGCTCATATTCACATCATAAAGATTAATAAAGTTCAATGACTAAAAAAGCACAGCCTAGATAGATGCAATNAAAAAAGCACAGCCTAGATAGATGCAATCAATTCCCTAGTTGATATAAATGAATCAGCTGATCAAATATGCAATCGACAAAACCTATCACTGCTTACAGATTGCACCAGACATTTCGATGCGAAAGAAAAATGGTGATAGATTTAATTGCACTCAACTTTTCGGAAAATAATATTACGAAAACAAAAAACATGTGAAATGAGAAAATGATAAAATTTTTATGAAGTACAAATATGCACTATACTTTCTCTCCATCGCTGAATTCAGCCTTAAGTTTCAGCATTACAGCTTCTAATTTCTTCTTGTTGATATCACGCATAAATCCGCGCGATATTGAACATTCCGTCTCTAAAAGGTACACGGCACGACACAAACAACCCAGACGAAAACGGCTCACGTTGCTCTGAAATATGAAACCATCAGAGACAAAATCCTACTCAAATAATTGTATGTGCGAAATGAAGTTTTGGCATGTTCTTGAAACACTCATTCAGCCACAAAGCTGACTAGAACCACCTCATCAAAATGGAACAAGCTATTATTCACACCCGTGAATAAGACTATAAAAATGGGTAAATTCACACTGAAGCATCGTTCACTCAACTACAGCAAAACACATGATCGCAAAAAAGTGTAATTGTGCAAGACTGAAGTCAGCAATTCAAACTGAAATTCCAATCTATTGCCAAAAAACACTATAAATTGTACCTCCACATCATATTCTTAAAGTATAATTTCACTTACGAAATCCCAACAAACTCATCCGTTTAACAATTACAATAGATTATTAACAGTTTCCTAATCAAAGGCAAGCATCGATCTGCATGAGACCAGAAAAGTATTGGACAACAACGTACAATTATACCACCAAGACTAGTAGCCTCCATAAGTTTCAGCCAATGTTCGGCTATATCCACACTAGCACAAAGAAGAATTGCGTTTCGGAGGTAATCACGACCGAAGTCACCAATCGCTTTATAAACCTGTAAATTGAAAATGTCACTCATCTACTGTCCGATTCGATTCTGAAATGTATCTCTTAGAAGAAAATGTTCAGCATACCTACCTCCAAACTGAGTGCCCAATATTGAAGTTGTTCACCAAAATTTGTAATCAACGGAGACAGGTCATTATGGAGAAGGTTTACTAGATTGTGCTTATTCAACGGCCTGATCTAAAAGTATACAATCAAAGAATTGACTTCAGTAAAGGAATAAAAAATGAGGGATACCAAAAAACAAATATGAATGAGATCACAAAAACACAAAAGGAAACAAATGTTACCTTCAGAGAGGATCGTATGATTGAGTCGATTATTGAGCATCGATAAGAACTTTTATGGTTCCATCCGTTCAGCATCTCGTCATATGACTGAAAGATTAGATTGAATGATAAAATCAACAACGTATGACATACCACCAAAACATTCGTAAACATATAGCTGGACAGAAATTGCTGACTGTGTAAAAATGAACGCCTCTCTCACCTGTAGGGCTTCATTGAAATTGTTCTCGTGATAAGCGCATGCTGCTTTGAAGTAAGGCAATTCTCGATCATTTCTATGTTGAAGAGCCTGAAATGATCATTCTTTATTGGCAAAAAGATAGAATTACATAAGAGCAAATGAGAAAAAAAATATTCGAAGAATTCCGATTGCTGGAGGACTAGACTTAGCGAAAACAGAACGGAATCTGGATATTGGAAGAAACGTCAACATGAGTATAATAAGTTGTTCTGGATATATGAAGTCGAAACTCTAAACGTGATGGATCACAATTCTTATTCTCAGAACGCTCAGTTCGCCAAAGATTTTTCCAGAATACAGAATGCACGGTCAGGAGTCGATATGCTCGGTTTATTTTAAGAAAGGAAACGCAGAAGTGGAGAAATTAAAAACTAACAAATTTCTCGTCACAGAACCATTTAGAAGGTTGTTGTACGGGTTCATATCGCTCGATATCTAGTTGTGTTTCTGCTTCTTTATTTTGCCTTCGACTACTATTGTCAAAGACGCCTTCGTCTTCATCAAAACACAACAGATCACCAAATGCATCCGATAACATTGTAGTAAATGCTCACCGGATCCCGACACTCTCTTGGAATGGGATCGACCAAAAGAAAATAATGACACAAAGCGCTGAACAACTGGGTAACTACTGCGTATACCAATCAAAGAACTACAATGCTGCAGTACGAAAATATAAAACAACTGAATCTGAGTCACGCAATAAAGAAACAAATCAGAAGATATGACTTGCACAAAATACAACAGCCTTATTGGCAACAAAGACGCTGATAAATNATATAAGACTATGACTTCAACTAATTTCAATATTGAGGCAGTTATAAAAAAGTTCCGAAGAACAATAACTTCAAGCGAATAGAGAGCCGATTCTAACAATAAAAGCTGTTAAGTTGGATGTTTCGACAATAATTACAACTAAATCGACAGTGCGAAAACGAATTAAGAAAACTGGCTAAAAATGTTAAATGATGAGGTATTTTGCTAACTACGGATGAGATTTTTTGTATTTAAATTACGCTGACTATTTAGATGATGATGAGGTGCCGAGTGATTTCAGTAGATTCTCTTCTTCTTTCCTGCTCTGATAATATTTCTGCATACACTCTTTGAATGCTTTCAACTGAAATTTTGCAGTTCAATTTCGAACTACAATTTGGTGATTTTGGTTAAGTGCAGATCACTTTCGATACGGTAAGATTCGTTGCAAGCAACGGTTTAATCAAAGCACATAAGACTTACCGGCTCTTGACACTTCCGCCAATCTTCCTTATCGGACATACACTCGACACAAGCGATGTGATGATCCCAACATCCGGATTTTTTTATAGCAATTTCAACGCGATCTTCTTCGTCCGTATCACGAGCCCACTCTGACGGTGGAGGATTGCGCATCAGGGGAACACACAATTGCTAAGCTCTGAAAGGTCTACGATTATATGTGATTATTATGGCGATATCGATAAGATGGTATCGCCGTGATAATCACGTTATTTGGTACATAATAATGATAATAAAGTTTAAAAAATATTTATTCTATCTGATACGTATTATCTCCTTCACAATATCGAAACAACGAAAAACAACTTCAGGGAGCATAAGATCATTAAAAACACATGAAAGAAAACCGTTCCCCACATATTCAGCCAAAAACAAACCATGCAACAATATAATGATAACCACAATAACGAAAACAGTGAAGTGTTAATAATCACAATCAAATTCGATCAATCAGATCCATTCTATAATAATTCCAAGACAATTCATCATAATAATAACTGATTAAATAAAAACTACCAAAAAATGGGGCAGTGACAGTTCGCCAAGTAAGAACGGAGTGACAGTTCGCCAAGTGACCGAAGTGGGATTTTCATTTGATACACGTTCAGAAATGTGAATTTCTTACCTACTCAATGAAAATAAATCCGGGCAAATCA